TTCTTGAACATCAAGTAAGTCCTTTTATGTTATAAAAAAGTGGCTTTATGTAGGACTTCATGGGATGCAAGTTTGGACACATTTTAGGTGCCAAAGTGGTTAACAATGGCCTGATTTGGACCTCCTTCAGAGGATGTTTCTTGGGATCTAATTCCCCTTTTCTTGGAAATGAATTCGGGCCATAAAATATTATAGTACCTAGATAACTCATATCCTTTATTCTTAAGCTCTTCCTCTAAACTAACAAATTCTTTGATCGCTCCTGAAGTCCAATGACCTTATTTTGTAACTTTTTAGCTTGAGATCTTGTTAAAGGACCTCTTTGAGATTCCAAAGCTTCATCCTTGTCCTTGAATAGAGTTGAGCTTCTTAGGATGCTATCACAACTCTACCACACTGATGTTGAAGTTGTATTCTGATAGCCGGGGGTCGGAAGGATCTCGTGTACCTGATGTTTCTTTGTCCTGCAATGATCTATTGTTCCGACCGCGATCAGTTCTTCTGTCAATAACAAACCTGTCTGCCGATCAAAAACCTCTGCCGCATCCTTCAGCCCGTTCGTAGGGCAAAAACCGGCCCCTCGAAGATCTTCTATATGTGTCAAAATCATCTTTTGATTTTTCTTTATTCTTCTCTCGTCCCTTAGCCGACAACGGGAAGCCGATCTGATCATCTTCAATCCTTATCTTAGATTCATACCGGTTGTGGACATTCACCCAAGTCGCCGCTTGGAACTCGAACAAGCTTTCCATCAATTTTCGGGAAGCGTCTGAACTTCGGATTAAGACCCTTGGTGAATGCTTTAGCCGCCCATTTGTAAGGCCTCATAAAATTTCACCTAAAACTCGAGGTTCCGTGGCGCCGAGGTAGGCTAATATTTTTGGTGATGGTACAAATTCGCCGCGTTACAGACTTTTTGGGTTGAACAGTGCCGCTAGGGAGTTAAAGGAAAATGTTGGCAGAAAAAGACATTTCTGCAGCCCACTATGCGGCTGCAGAATCACTCTACGGGCCGCAGAATGGCTGCAGAGTGAAGCAGAAACATGGGAAAAAATTGTTGACCATTATGCGGCCGTAGAAGTGATTTACGGGCCGCAGATTGCATCTCAAAATCGGCGTGAGGAATTTTGGGCGGAGATTCTGCGGTCCATTTTGCAATTACAGAATTGATATGCGGATTGCAGAATAGCTGCACACCCAGTCAGTGGTGCCTAGTTCCGGAGGCTATTTTTTTGGCCCATTTCGCGGACCGTAGAAGCATTATGCGGTCGCATATGCGACTGCAGATTCTGTTCCGGAGCTTCATTTTTGGGTTTTTATAACCCGGCCCCTTTCTCATAAAACACCATTAGGGGTTATTTTAGAAGGATAAAACTCACATTTTTTAGAGAGAGGAAGGTGTTCTAGAGTGAGAAGAGGAATTCTAAGCCATTGTCATCAATCTTTGCCCAAACCTTGAAGATTTCTCTAGATTAACTCACAAAGGTCTTCAACCAAAAGGTAAGATTCTACACCCTAGCCCTTAATTTCGAAATTTAACTAGATAAGTATAATTTAGTAAGATAATTCTTGGGTACGAGAGTAGTTTATCTTGCATGCATGTGTTATCAAGGGGTGTAGGAAGATGGTTGAGCTAAAATGGTAAGGAATGGGTTGTGACAGAATCCTCCATAAAAGGACCTTGAAACCTTAATGCACACCTAATGTTTGATAAAATGCTCAAATGAGCTAGAACCATAATCATCTTCCTAATTTTTGGTTCAATTTGTTATATTTCTAAAAGAGATTGAAGATGCTAAGGTTTCCAGAACATTTTAGAGTTTAAGGAAGCTCAAGTAGTATGTTGGCTAAACTCTTCTCTTAAAATTGAACCCCACAGTGTTCTTGTAAGTCTTGAGGTGCTCATTATGAATTAATTATTCCGGGTAAGCTTTGTGAAAAATGACGTATGTATTCAATATGTATTTCAAATGCTCTTGTTATGTTGTATTAGTATTTGAGGATGTGTTCAAAGTATGGGTTGCATATCTAAATGCCATGACTTCAAGTTGTGTTTAAATGTCTTGAATAGAGATGCCTGGTTGTTGGAAAGTCCATGATGATGATTGAAAGTGAAAAGGGGTGCATGAAATACGAAACATGAAATGCGAAATGAGAAATATGAAACACGGCCAACGTGCCAAGAGAAATAATACAATTGTGACCACTAATGCTAATAAAATGAAGAAGATGTGCAAGAAGTATGAAATGGAATGATTGATAGAAAAGGATGATGTCTCACATGAGACAGCCTAGCCAATCGGGTCATGATCGGATGCCATGCCGCACACATGGTAGTGGGTGTGCTGGAAATTGTAATTTAAATCGAAATTGTGATTGTGATTGTGGTTGATGTCTCACATGAGACGGCCTAGCCGATCGGGTCGTGATCAGACGCCATGTCGTACATATGGTGGTAACTATGTTGGGAATTATAATCGAAATGGCAAATAGTGATACTCGGTACTAAAAATTTCCCAACTTAAAATATGGAAATTTAATTGAAAACTTATGTTATTCCTAATTTGATATGTGGTAATTGTTTGAGGCATTAACTGATATTATGATTGTCCTTACTTGCATTATTGCTTGTTCTTTTGAGAGGGTGTTTAGTCATATATACTAGTACTATTCGACAGTACTAACAACCCTTTTGCCGGGGGCGCTGCATCTTTATGGATGCAGGTGGTTCCACAGCAGGCGGCATTGAGCAGCAATAGTGGTACACCCACTTTCCAGTAGACTTGGTGAGCCCTACTTAATTCCGGGGTCATGTATCTTTTGTTCATTATACTATCACATTTGAGGTATAGCCGGAGCCTTGTTGTCGGCACTATCATAATACTCTTTTGTATCCTTTAGAGGCTCCATAGACATAGTGTGAGTTGTATATGGGTGATGATAAAATCAAATAAGTTATGTTGTATTTCGATCACTTGTTCAACTTCAAACCACAGAAATACGTGTATTTTGAGACTTATTAAATGAAGTAACTAATGGTAATGAATTTGGTATTGTCTACATGATCTTCTTATTGGTTAATTAATAAAGTTATGTATTCTCTTTAAATCATGGGTGAGTTTGGGTAGAAAGTATTCAACAAGCTTGCTTGACCGGGTTCACTTAGCCTTGATATGTATAACACTTAGCCTTGATATGAAGATGATATAGCAGAAATAGTAATTTCGGGAGCGAAGCTTCCGGGCACAACAATAATTAAACCAAAAAGTAAGAAGATAAAATTGTATAGAGCTTTGAATAGGTTATAGCATAAGTTTGCCAGAAAATTCGTCCCCATACACAATGATAATAGAGCTTGCTATTTATAGCTACACCTAGGGAATAAGGTCCTAGGATCAAACCGCTCTTTAACGCCAATTATGAGGTCCATTGAAGGATATGTAACGGCAGTCATGAATGACATATTCTTTTGTAACGGGCACTGTATTAAGTGCTGTGAAATATTCTTCATTAAATGTTATCGGGCGGGGGATATTTATTGTATCTTTACAAGTGTCATTCCTTTCGGTAACAAATGGGACAATTGCCTTCAGTTTTAACTATCCCCGCCTTAGGCTCCACGTGTCACTCTCTTAAGCGGCCACTTAGCATAGCATGTTTTATCCTATACACTTACTCATATCAATTATTTGTCCTGAATAAATTTATTTAACTTTAAGAGATGGTACATATTAAATTGAAGAATATATATATATATATATGTGTGTGTATGTGTGTGTGTGTGTGTGTGTGTGTGTGTGTGTGACACTTACCGTGCAGTATACGAATGCATTCCTCTATAATGACATAACTTTACGTCCTCATTTGGCCATAGATTTTGCCAAAATTTTTTTCTTGGCAAAACATGTTTGTTCATAGATTTTATCTATGTTTTGGCAGATTTTAAAAATAAAATTTTCAAATTCCAAACCTAGCTCTAGACCTGTTTTTGGCCCAAAACATCACTGTTTGATTTTTTAACAATTTCAAAAATTACCCCAAACTTTTGAATTTTATAAAAAAATCCGCCTCTATTATGACCTATCTAATCACCAGCTAATTATTATCATTTTCTTTTGGACTGATGGATTAAAATATCAAGTTATGGTTTGAAGATAGTGTGTAATTCATTACAAAATGATAATTTTGTGCCAAACTTATCTTATGTTCTGGACTATGGTTTGTGATAATGATAATGAATGGCATCGATGAAGGTTCTGCATATCCATGATTAGCAAGTTTGTTTGTTTGGTATTATCGGATATTTTTGATAGTTTTTACAACTTATGGATATAAGTCACATTTCATATCTTTTGTAAAATTATGTCCAAACAGATTTTCATCTTCAAACCAATCTTCACCCAAATCAGATTTTTTAAATAGCCATAATGACATATATATGACCGGGGAGAGATCATTGGAGCCCGAGGTTATTGTTATGGCTAATTATCTCTTTACGACTCACTCTCATTTGTCATTACGTTGTCCTTATGGCTAATTAGCTATTTACAACTCACTGAATAATCTTTGGTTTAATCGCTCCTTGCTTTACAACATTACTCCAGCTCGTTTTACCTCTTACTAACTCACTTTATTTTTTAAACATTACCTCTCTTTTTTCCCCACTTTATGCAGTATGATTACTCTTTTGAAACATTCATTAGTCTTTGAACTCCTTAGCTAGGTTGGACATGATCGTTAAAGTCTTTGGGATGAGTGACTAGGTGCAAATTATTTCCTCATCGCTTTCTTCAATGCATATCAGGTCTCAAATGCTTTTGAATTCAGTCTTTCTTGCGTTCTTTTGTGTCTCTTGGTGAGTTTATAGGATTCCTTTGTTCTTTTCCACAATAATCTTTGTTCCTCGTTCTGAATTCCTTACTTGATTAGTTTGCTGCCCAACTCTTGGCTATCACATCCCCTTTTCAGTGAGTTGACTCAATGCTAGGAAACAATGCTAAAACATACACAAGCTAGAATTTCTTTACACCAAAAGCTCAAACTAGTTTCTGGAAAGAAACTTGCAGTACAATACAAGAAAAGTAAACAAGTTTTCGGCAAGCTACATATGGAACATTTTTTGAAATGGATAGACTTACAGATAACACTAGCCACTGGGCAATGCGTTAAGACCACAAACTTGCTGCTACTATAAGCATCAACTTTCCCCACATACCTGCCAAAACGGAGTTAGCCCTCTTCATTCAGCTAAAATTCCGAGAGTAAATAACAATATATACAAGTTTTGCTTCATCTCATATTTCCTTTTTAGATCTTCGAAAGGCCATTCTAGGAAGGCTCTGTGCGACCATGAACTCTCCCCAGAGCTCCCCTTACCCCAGCTACTTTTAATATGTAACTGTCCCATCTTCGCCTTTGTAGTCTCACTCAGTTGTTCCCAGAGGTTTAATCCTCCATTTTCTACAAATAACATTAAAACATAGTCAACATCTAGTTAGGAAATTCAACAACCAACAAATTTATAATTCACTAACGGCTAATCATCAAAGGAGTTAACAGAAAGCATCGTCTCACACCTTCATAAACAGAATGTTTTTGTTTTCCACGGGTCTATTCCACAAGCAGTCAATTTTTTTATTTTTTTTGATAGGTATAAACAGTCAAATTATAATGGCTCGTATGGAAAGGATAACTAACTTGGATCTAATGAAATCCCCTCCAACTAACTCCGCTATATAAGCAGTGGAATAACGAAAATAGTTACATATAGCTGGGCCATCAGTTTTCTTATCACTAGCGGTTAGAAATTCATTTGTAGCAGGACTTACACTGGGCCAACCAGAAAGTCCGGCTGCAGAGTTTGAAGTACCATTTTTGACAAGGCGAGCTTCAAGAAGTGACGAAAAATCTATCTGTGAAAAGACGCAGTTTACTAATCCAATTAGCATTAGGATCAGAGATTGCACTAAACACGATAATACATAGAGATTCACTCACGCAAAGGATGTAAATTCAAGTTCACTCAGCACAAGTACCTCTACATATAGAGTTATCTCGATGCATCTTACTAGAAACAACTTGAGATAACCAAATATAGTTGATTTCCTTATTTAATACTAACTTTTTTATTTCATGTAGCTTAAACTCCTATATAAAAGAGAAATTTTAAATGGTTCATGACCATCTCCAGCGAGGATTCTTCCCCGCTCACGCATTCCTTTATGGTTCAACTTAGAGCTAATCATACATTAACCCCTAGATAACGTAAAGCACATTAGCATCTCCTTTCTCTCTTTCTTTCTTTCTTTTTCTTTTTGGGATAAAGTAAAGTTTCATTAATGGGTACCAAGAGGTACAACAAGTGTACACAAAAGGAGCAACAACAACTTTGCCTCAATCCCAAACAAGTTGGGGTCCGCATCTACATCAAATTCATAAAATCCAAAATATTCAGATCTTCCATCTCCTTATCCTTACACCAAAAGAAAAGACACTGTAAACATCTGTCTTTCACATGACAGAATTGCTGCTTTTTTTCCTTCAAAACATCTTGTATTTCTTCCAACCAAATAGTCCACATAATGCATAAAGATACTGTGTTCCTTATCTGTTTTCTCCTTATACTAGCATCTCTTATTGTTAAGCTTGGAATAACTTGGATGGTGAATCTCAAAATGACATTCTAGAAAAATTCTATACTTGACAACTCTACTTTTGGTATCTAGAACTCTTGCTTTATATATAGAAATTCAAGAGAAATTAATAGGCAGAACATCATAATACAAACTATGGCCGAACCTACCTCTTGCATTTGATCCTGCTGCAAAGCTTGATCTGCATCAACCAGAAGACTTTTAGACTCTAGAGTTCTTCCATATTAAATAATGCAAGACCGACACCATAGTGAAAGAAGTGGTTAACACAAATTAATATTTTAAAAACTGGTAAGAAACTCTTCCACCTGAAAAGTTGGGAGGGAGAGACAGAGAGTACGACAAAGAAGGGGGAAAAGAGATAACTGAGTCATAAACAAACGAACAACCTGGAACAACTTCATCCTCCATATCACTGTGTTGACCTGGTTTTTTACACACAGTGCTTTTTTCATTCGTCTGCTCTTGTCTGTTTGTATTTCTACCCTTATCTTCTTCGCGCAATTGCTTCCAGTGTAGCTACATGTGAGACAGTGCTTTGTCAACACAAATGAGACTAGGCAGAAGGATTGAAACATTTGTGTGAGTGTGATTACTCACAAGTCCCTTTGGTTGGCCAATCACTTCTTGATTTTTAGCTTTAATTTGCTGCTGTTTCCAATTCCCCTGCAAAGTCTATGATATAAGTTTCCAATACATGAAAGCAGAAGAAAAGTGATAGAAGTACTTCTTGGTATCTCACTACTCACACGTCCCCTTGCCCTGCCATCAGTCTCACCATCAACATGCCACTTTGAATGAAATTTACCAGCTCTTCTTCCAGCATTAGCCTGCAATTCCTTCCCGTTTTGCTGCAAAATTGTGCCGAGCAAATATAATATGTCATGGAAATAATAGTTGGCAAATCTGCATCTTATAATTACTTACAGGTCCATCTGATTCGGTAGCTGCATGCTGCTTGTAAATTTTGATCATTTCTCGCAACCATTGTCTTTTCGCATATTGTCTCCGAGCACTTCTACTAGGGCCCTGACAGAAAGAAGAATCAATATCTGAGCACTAAAAGAGCTTTAAGCAAATCTTCCGACGGAAAATTGAAAAAAGCGATTCGCACTTATATTTAAGTGAAAGTATTTGTAAGACAGACTAACTGGTAGTATAGGTAGAAGAATATTCAACTATACTAGCCAACAAATACGCTACGCACTATAACATCTGGTCATGTCAGGTGAGTTTGTGACAAGAACAAATGTCACTTTCAAGTAACACCGCTAATATAGTGGATATGCCATATTAATCTACACAGTTTCACACAATTTTCTGAAATAGCTCCACCAACTATAGGACTATTTGCTTCCAATTTCTCGATTAAATGATAAAAGTTGTAATACTGTACCTTTTTAACAGGCTTGGGGGTTGCCTCCACATTCTCCACGCCTTTCTCTTGAACCTTGTTATTCCTATAGAAACAGAAGAAATGTTCAGTAACCTAACATGACATTGGACATCTCTGGATGCATAAAAACAGAACAAGATGCACTTGGAAATGCCTAAGTCATCAGAAGAGGTATTACAACTTTAAATATAAGTCCGGATCTTGCACTTTTTATCAATAAGATTAACTTGTCAAGCCACCACAAGCAAATATCAGATTAGGGGCAAATTCCTCGGTTTCACTATGGAGAAAATAAATTCAAGATTTTCACCAGCAGAAGATGGACAAAGATAAACTTAGGACTCTTACAAGATGCCCAACAAGGAAAGACGGGGTATTAAGGCTATCAATGCGGCTCTAATGTTGTATTAGTTCCTACTATCTTGTTCCATATGTTCAGATACCAAAATCGATACTCCGTACAAGAGGCAAGCAACACTTAACTGAGACCACAAAAACAAGCAAAGAAAATACATGGGCAAAGAAATACACACCAAAATGGAAACAAGACAAGCAACCCCTTCAATGATTGATGCCAAAATGGTAGCAGTGGAAAGGAATAAATCCTCAACTAAGTGGTGCTGTGGGAAGGAATGCACCCTCTAAGTAATGACCACAGTAAGGCTTCCAAAGCAAATACACCAAGAAAATTGGCAGAAACTGACCAAATAAAGCAATAATAACCTAAAATAAACTGTAATACCTTAAAGAATGAGATTACAGATTTCAATAGCCGTACCTCTTCATGCCGGAAATGCTGTCATTAGCCTTGCTACTTTCAGCACTTCCTTTGTTACTATCTATATCTTTGCTATCCAGATCAGCTACCTTCTTTTGCTTGCAAAGACTCTTCTTGCTTGTGAGATCTTGGTGAGCTTTCTTGGTCTGCTCGTCAACCTCCTCTGCAACTTCAGAATGATGCTTCTTCTTCCTGAAGAAGAGAGATTCAAGAAGTCAATTGTGAGCCTTACAAATTAAAGCTAAAGTATGGGCCAATCAGAATCACCAAACAAGTGATGAAAAAGTTACTTCGAGCTAAGAAGTGTTTCCGATGCCTTTCTTTTCTCGGAGATCACATTACAACCCAAAGAATTTTCCAGATGTGCACTAGTATGTTTTACTGGGTCAGCTGCTTCTTCCTTGTGTTCATTCTCTTCTTCGGGCTCTTCACTCTCATAACCTCCAGATTCATTGTCAAACTCCTCCTCATTCGCCAACAGCAATTGTCCCGTGTTTACAGGTTGCTTCTCAACAATTCTGATATTCTCAGCTATATTAGGCACATCATTTCCTTCAATGGCTAAAACACCTCCTTTCTTCTTCACACTAATGTACAAGTTTTGAGAACACAATCTTTATGAATCTCAAAAAATAATAATAACGATGATACTAATAGATGTCAAAGCGGCAATTAAGCAAAACCTGACTATAGAATTATCCTTCAAGATACAAGTTGATTCAAAAGGGGGCAAGACAAAGCCATCCATCTGCAAGTTTATGACAAGAAAGTGAGCCAGTACTTAAATAATGTGATGCCAACTGCAAGAGAATAGAAATGTTAGTTCGCAGCCAGAGATACTTTCTATATCCAGGCTCGATCAACAAATGTAACAAACCAAGCACTAAAGGATGTAGCCTAGAGGTTAATGAAAGACCACGAGACACTGGAATTTCAGCTCCATCAGTAAAACAAAAAAGGTGCTCCATCAGTTAACTTATGTCAACCTATTTGACTGGGTACGTAATTTAAGAAAAAAAGAAGACCTTTAAAACTTGTGATCTTAGACATGACATAACATTTCATAACATCTTTACGGCTATAAAAGTTTATTATTAAGAGTAAAATGGAAAGTTTAAGTTAAATTGAATCCAAATTTAGAAGGGGGTTATACTTTTTGTAACGGACTAAAAAGGAAATTGAGTCATATAAACTGAATGGAGTAAGTAGGTGATTCCTCCATCTGCCTACACCTCAGTGGGCAAAATTAGCAGTTACGGAGGTGCTCAGTGTAATAGTGGAAGTAGCTAATAAACAATGCTGAAAACACTTTTAGGTGTTAGAACCTGATTTTATAAATTAGGTGCTTGGATAAAGAACTGTTGAAGCTGATAATAAGCAGGAACACAAAGCAAAAAAGTAGACGCCGGAATTAAAACAACAAAAAGCAGTAATTGAATCAACAAAAATTGAAGGAAACACTACCCCAAAATTAAAAGAAATAAAGAAGTCATGAAACATACAGAGAGGAGAAGGCCATGAGGACAAGAGTGATGGAGCTGAAAAGTGTGAAGAACAGAAGAGGAGAGGTCAGAGATGGTTCTGTGCTGTTGGGGTTTGAGAAGGAACCAACTATGGCTCAGACCCTCTGATTTCTCCTGTAATTCGCTGAGAATGTGCCGCTCCTTGAATATCAATCGAACCCTTACGCTCTCCCCCATAAGCTTTCTCCGACTACAACCCTTGCAAGTGTTTTGGGGTTTCCGGCATAGTAAACTATAGTAATTGCTGAATATAGTGTTCTTCACTTCCTCGAAAGTGAAGACGTGCCAAGCATTTGTTAGTTTGGTTACTAACAGGAACTCACTTTGTTTTGTTTCCTCAGTCCTCACTGTCACTTGTATCTTGCTTTAAAACTCAACTAATTTAACATTGTTATGAAAATATTATACTCTGGATGTTTATTTACTATTTTGCTATACATACCAAGAAAATCTAGTACTATATTAAAGTTTATATGCAAGCAGTTAATTTGACACAGACAGGTTGCAAGCAACTCAATAAAATGATTGGCAACAATATTTTATTAAACATGCAGGTTATGAACAATTCATGCACACAACTTACAAGTAGCTCAAGAAAAACTTTACAGCTACTTCATGAAAAGCCTTGCAGCTGCTTTCTTTCTTCTATAAATAGAAGAGATCTCAGTTTATTATGTACATCAGTTTGGAGTTGAATAATATATCAGTCTCTCTGTCTCTCTCTATACTTATCTTAGGTTAATTTAATTTATAGTCTTTATTTTATAATGCGTTATCAGCACGAGACTCTGCCATCTCGAGCAAATACTTTAAAAATATCAAAGGTACGAACTTCTTTTTTTAAATAATGTCAAATCTTTCTAAACTTGAATTTGTAACCTAAATCTATCGGGCAAAAGTTACATGTCTTGGGGTGCTTGATGCTGAAATTCATCTTAATATGATGGGTCTAGCAGACACAATCAAGGATTAAAAATAGGCATCAAACCATGACCGCGCCAAAGCAATGATATTTCTATGCCATCACATTGATGAAGGTTTGACAATGGAATCTCACTGTTAAAGATCCAATTATCCTGTGGAATAATTCGAAAGATAGATATGACCACCTGAAGATGGTCGTTCTTCCACAAGCACGTTATGATTGGACTCATTTAAGGCTACAAGCTAACTCTACTATGTTTAGAATTATTTCCCAATTAAAATTATGTGGTGATAATCCTGATCATGATATGGTGGAGAAAACTTTCACCATTTTTCATACCTCGAATATAGTCCTATAGCAGTAATATCGAGAGATGGGATTCAAAAAGTATTCTGAACTTATCTCACATCTTCTGGCGACCGAGCAACATAATGGGCTACCAATAAAAAAATCATAAAAGTCGACCTACCGGTTCTTGTCCATTCCTTGAAGTGAATGAGACGAATTTCCACCAAGCTAAGCGTGGAAAAGGCCATGGCCCCAGTAGTAGTCATGGCCGCAGTCGGGGAAGAAACTTTAATCATGGTAATTATAACGCACCAAAGAATCCTCCTCACCACCAGCAGTGGAAAAGGAAGGAACAAAAGCATGAAGCGGTGCAAACAACAAATACAAAAAATGCATGTTATAGATGTGGAGAAAAAGGACATTGGTCACGTACCGGTCGTATGGTAAAGCACCTGGTTGAGCTTTATCAAGCCTCCTTAAAGAAGATAGAGAATTGAGGCAAATTTTATTTCTGAAGATAATGCTGACTCCATGCATTTGCATGTAGTTGATTTCTTTGTACTCCCAAAAGGAGAAACAAGTCATGTGATCGGTGATGAATCTGTAGAAATTTAAATATTTTATTTTTTGTTGTTTGTATTAGATAGAGTGGTCATGTAATTTTTGTACATAAATAAACGTCATGCTTTGATAATGATATTTACTATAATATTTATTTTATTTATATTATTTTATTTTAAAGACTATGGATAATCCTCAAATTATGTTTGGATCAAAGATCAATCATGACGATATTTGTATAATTGATAGTGGAACAACTCATGCCATATTCAAAGATTAGAAATACTTTTCATATTTGCATAGGAAAAAAGGAAATATTTTTACAATTTCTAGTAATATAAGTTTGATTAAATGCTCCAGAAGGGACACTATATTTCTGTCTAAGGGAACAAAACTTATTATAAACAATACATTGGTCTTTTCCAAGTCCCGAAGACATTTGTTGAGTTTTGTAGATATCCGCTGGAATGGTTATCATGTTGAAACGATGGATGAAATGAATGTGGAATATAGTTGTATTACAAAGAATGTTTCTGGACAAATACATTGTAGAAAAGCCACCAACTTTATCTTTTGGCTAATACTATTCAAAGATTAGTACAGTTGAAGCACACTCTATCGTATACTAGAAGTTTACTTATTCAAATACTTTTCTGCTTTGGCATGGTCGCTTGGGCCGCCCTGGATCAATAATGATAGGATGAATTATTGAAAATTTGAGTGGGCGTCCATTAAAGAACTTGAAAATTCTAACAAATGATGAATTTTCTTGTGATGCTTGTTATCAAGGCAAAATGATCACTAGACCATTGAAAGTTGGCATAACGTCCCGATCGGTCATTTTGTGTAACTGCGCCCCGTTACCCCCGTTTGATGCTTCACACATGCATATTTATGATTTTATAACTTGCGGGACTGGTTAGTTTCTTTGAGAAGCTTTCGGGTTGATTTGTACCCTTTGATTCTTGACTTAGAAGCTTGAATTAAAAATGTTGACCAAACTTTGAATTTTATGAAAATGATCTCGGAACGATGTTTTGATGGCTCCGATAGCTTCGTATCATGATTTCAGACTTGGGCGTATGCCCAGAATTGTTTTCGAAAGTCCGTAGGCTGAGTTGTGTTGCTTTGCCGAAATTTGGCAATTTGAAGTTGAAAAATTTGACGGTAGGTTGACTTTTAGCTATCGATCTCGGAATTTGATTTTGAGACTTGAAATAGGTCCGTAATTCTATTTAGAACTTGCTGTGAACCAAAGTAAAAATTTGTGAAACTTTGTCAAGTTTTTGAAAAATAAGAGATTGAGTTTTGAGAGTCGATTTGGACAGGTATTTTGAAACTAATCACATATATAAATTCGTGGGGCCATGGGTAGTCAAAATCTACAATTAAACCCGGGGTTTGACCGGGCAGACCCCGGGTTAACTTTTGAAAAAAGTGTATGTCACGACCCGAAATTCTCACCCTCGGGACCGTGATAGCGCCTAACGTTTCACTTGCTAGGCAAGCCAACGTTAGAAGTAGTTATTAACCATTTGTAATAATTCAAATCAAATGAAAACCAATAAGCTAAATAAACTGAAATAAACTAGATAAATCTGATACACGGCGATATCCAGATACAAATCCCAGAACTGGTGTCACGAATACACGAGCGTCTAGATGTCACAACCCAAAATCCAACTAGTCATAATGGCACCTAACTCAACCCGCTAGGTAAGCCAATTAACAATAAACCACAATATAATGATAATGATAAGAGTCAAAAATAAAATAACTGAATATTATACAACTCCCCAAGGACTAGTAGTACAAATCATGAGCTTCTAAGACTTAGAGTTTACAAGACTGATATGAAATAAATATATCATCTATTCGAAACGTACATAAACAGATTTATAAATCTAAAGCTACCAAGAACAAGAGGCAGCTATAACCGAAACGCATGTACATCTTAAATGCCAGCTCCCGCCATACACAACAACATCAACTCCAAAATCTGCACGCAAGGTGCAGAAGTATAGTATGAGTACAACCGACTCCATGTACTCAATAAGTAACAAACCTAACCTTAGGTTGAAAGAATTGACGAGCTTGGACAACGGTCAGAGTCCAACACCAATAGCCAAGAACGACTCGAAATAATATGATAAAGTAGTACAAGCAATAACTCAAAGATATTATGCTCAACTCATTCACAGTAATGGAAAATAGGCATGCTATTCAGGTATAACACAAAAAAATCCAAATCTTTCACCGAAATCACCAAAATAAGTAAATTAGAAAACTATGATTTTTCCCAAAAACTTTCAACAACAGATAAGATGTTTCAGTATCTGATAGCATGAGGAAGGTACATCTCTTTGCCTACATGTCAATGTGCATATGAAGTCATGAATGTCACAATACCATACAGCATGAGGAAATGCATCTCTATGCCTACAAGCCAAGTATGCATGTCAACTGTAATGCAACACAGTGATAAAGCCATATACTTATACTCTCGGAGTAGTCAACATCACTCAACACGCTCAATCACTCAACACTCTAAATCACTCAGTACTATCAATCACTCGGCACTCGCACTCATCAATACCTGCGCTCACTGCTAGTATGTCAGACTCTGGAGGGGTGGATCCCGCCCAAGCGCTAATATAAGCCAACATCGCATGCTGCAGCGCGCAGCCCGATCCCATCATGAATCAATAAAGCCTACTGCTACGTGCATCCCGATCTCATAATCGTCACTCGCAATCAGGTCCTCAGCCTCACTCAGTCATCATCCTCTCCAGTCTCTGGGGCTTACAAATCTCATGCCAATCAGCCCAAACAATGATAATATGGTGTGACAACAAATGATATCCGAGACTGAGATATGATATGCAAATGAATGAATATGACTGAGTATGTAATTGCAATTTAAGCAAATAACTGAACAACAAAAATGGCCTCAGTGGGTCCCAATAGAATAAACAATGGCCTAAACATGGTTTCTAATGTGGATCACAACTCAATTACTTTAGCACGTAGAAATTTCATGGATAGTTACACAGTAATATAGAGTTAACCAAGTCATAATTCATACGGTACATGCCCACACGCCCGTCACCTAGCATGTGCATCACCTCAACATCAACACATAACATTTATGTTCAGGGATTCATGCCCCCAGCACCAAGTTTAGAAGTGTTACTTACCTCGAACAAGCCGAATCCACTACCATGCAAGCCAAACAATAATGTTATGACCTCTCCGCGGCACATACCCCGACACCAACACACTTATTCACAAAGAACACCAGGTCCCCTTCCTTAACTCGAAAACACAACTAAAGTGAACATCTCCACAACTAAACCATCCCACTAACTCAACCTCGTAGAACCAGAACCATCACACGTAACAACTTCTCATACCTGTAGAAAACCCAAACCATAAGCCAGTCCAAACCACCCAGAAATCACGTCAAAACCTACTGTATTTAACTAGAAGAAAGTCCACCCCATTCTCATGACTTACAATAGCAACCAAACAATAATGATAGACACGGGCTATCATAGTGAAATTCTCAACTGGCATGAACACATGAACAG